ATTGGGCAGATTTTAAAAATTGCTTTAATTTGTTTCTATTATATCCATAACTTTGAGCAATCATCATTCTAATTTTCCTCTCTCCAGGAACTATAAATTCTGGATCTATGATATGCATATGTTCAATATAGGCTTTGTGAATTACAGTTGAAAGGGGTTGTGTTGTCAATAGAATCCATCGTAATGTAGATTCTTCCTTTTCTTTTTGTCCAATATTATCAATAGATTGTATAGGCTTTGATTTAATTTCAGCAGCAGGTAAATTTTCTGCTGCTGTAGGTGGTATAATTCCATGTTTAATAATATGACTACTAAGGTTTCCTGTAGATCCATCATATTTATAATTCTTTGTACATTTATCTCCATTTTCCATTACAAATTGACAATATGCACGTATTTCACCTTTATTATTATAATCTTTAATAAAATATTTCCATACCCAACTACTTACTTTTGTTTGTAATTTAGCTGATATTTGAACTGTTGAGTCAGGTATACTAATTACATTTATTTGTTCTATTTCACTTGTAGCTACTGGTAATTCTGGTATTTGGACCATTTCATTAGTAATTTCTTCACTAAAGTCATCATCACTTGAAGGTAGAATATAACTACTATCATCTGCCATATTTAATAAATTATTTTTAAATATTAAATTTAATTTCAAAGTGAAATTATGTAAAAATTATCAAGGTGAAATTACAGCATTTATATAGTGTTTTTTTAAGTAAGGTTATGGCTTTTTATTATAAATTTATAAAATTAAGATTTTATCAAAAAAAGCCATAAAATGATTTTAATATTTATCAAAAAAAAAAAGCCTATATATTTATCAAAAAGCTATAATTCTATTAAAAAAGCCATAATTTTATTAAAAAAGCTATATATTTTATCAAAAAAGCCATAAAATGATCTTTGATATTTATCAAAAAAAACTAGTATCATAATTTTATTAAAAAAACTATATCTCATCATAAACAAGTATAAATTTTATCAAAAAAAAAGCCATAAAATGATCTTAATGTTTATCAAAAAGAACTATAATTTTATCAAAAAGCCATGATTTTATTAATAAAGTTATATATTTTATTAAAAGAATCCATAAAACAAGCATTATTTTATCAACAAAAGTCATAATGTGATCTTAATTTTTATCAAAAAAAAAAGCCATAATATGATCTTAATTTTTATCAAGAAAACTATCATGATTTTATCAAAAAAAGCCACAATTTTATTAAAAAAACCATATATTTATTAAAAGAAGTCATAAAACAAACTTAATTTTATCAAAAAAAAGCCATAATGTAATCTTAATTTTTATCAAAAAAAGCCACAAAATGATTTTAATTTTTATCAAAATAAAAAGCCATATTTTTATCAAAAAAGCCATATATAATCCTATTAAAAAAAGTTGTGATCTCATCTATAAAACCACAAGTCCTACTCATAAAAGCCACAAATGACACAAAGCTTATATAAAATTTATTAAAAGCCACAAATTTATTAAATAATGCTATAAACTTAAAAATAATTTTATTAATAAATTTTATAAAGCTTATTAACAAAAACATAAATGCTATGAAATTGTTGTATAAACATAAAGAAATGTTAAAATAAAAATGAAATAATTAAATTGCTGCTATCATAATTTAATTATAATTAATATCTATTTCTTAAATTATTTTTAGTATATTTTTGCATCAGATTTCAGTAATTATTATTTGGTAATTTTTGACAATAAATATTTTGAAGTATTATGCGAAAATTGTTTAACTTTAGTTCGCAGTCAAAAAAAAATTATATGTAAATCCAATCCGGATTCCGGTTTCTATCCGGATTATCTGATCCGGATTCAAAATCCGGGTCAATCCGGATGTAATCCGGATTTTTTTTTTGTGTAATCCGGATGACGGTTTTCATCCGGGTCGAGGCACTACATGAGTCAGCATGACTCGATTTATTGCACTTAATTTATACAAAAGTAAAAAAAATTAGTAAAATAATAGTAAAAAAAAAAAAACAATTTTTTGAAATTTAAATATCACGGGAAAAAAACGTATACACAATAATGTAAATAATATTTTTAAATTGAAATTTTATTCTGTTATTAAATTATTTAAATATGTCTTTCAAAATATTCATAAATTAAGAAAACTAGCCAATACTGCAGTGATGACAAAATGACCATGACATTCGGCCATTTTGAAAGTAATCAGTCATTTGAGTAATTTGAGGCCATTTGGATCACTGGTCATATCCGGATTCATCATATCCAGTTAAGCTAAAGGATATCCGATAAAAATGGATATCGGATAGATTTTTTTTTTAATTGACGATATGTATATATATATATATGTATCCGGATGAGTATTACGTGACCCGGATACACTCCGTTTCACCCATTTACCAATTAAATTTTTTAGATTACATTAATTTGTGACTTAATTCTTACTTATACTCAAACTTATTAAACTCGTGTTTAAGCCCGTGACTGATTACTTTTTTTATTTTATTTAACTCTTACAGTCTTACTAAACAATAATACTAATTAAATTACTTGACTTTAAAATTATACAATTGATACATGATATTGACGGATTATTTTCAGATATCTGCTAAGAATCTCATTAAAAAATCCTTTAGCTATCCGCAAAATTAACGGATTTATTCAGATGCTATCCGGATATTATCCGATTTATTTAAAACAGATATCTAGATATGAAATCCCGGCTTAACGGTGATGGATTTTTTTATCTGGATACTCGGATACAATCACTAACTGCAAGTACAATCACCAGATCTTGGTAAACATACGCACTCTCTACTATAAGTGCCAAGATGACAAAATTTTCCATTAATATTAACTTGAAACCTATGTTTTAAAAGGCCGCAAATAATTTCTCGACCACAGATAACACTTACCTCCAACAGTTATGCCTTTGGCATCACAGCCTTTAATGTTTTCAGGTTTACAGTCACAGTCAGATGCTATATTTGCATTGCAGGCGGCAAAGGTGTCAGAGATGAATAAGACCAAGAGACTCAAGAAACCAGAAACCAAAAAAGATGAATAGAGCGGTTTATTTTCATCAGGTGGCTTAATTGGATTGGGCTTAAAGTTGGAGTTAGGGTTAGATTAGGGTCAGATTAGGATTAGGAATTTGGTTTATTATTTTGATCCAATTTGATTTTTTTATTTTTATTTTTATTTTTTTTGTTTTGAAGAATTAACGCCCGTATTTATAAAAAATTTTTCCACATGCTAGTTCTCTTATTCTTACAATTATGCATTTGTATTAGAGGTATACATAAAAAACTCAGGCATTGGTGCTTCTAAGTTTCGTGCTTCCAACAAATCTGTGGTGCAGGATCTTGATGATCTCAAATAAAAGAAGCGCCCATTCGGAATACGAGGAACAATGGATCGATAATATAATTATTTCTATTAATGCTAGTCTCTTATTTTCACAATTATGTATTGTATTAGAGGTATACATTTCGCGCTTTCAACAAATCTGTGGTGCAGGATCTTAATGATCTCAAATAAAAGAAGCGCTTATTCCGAATACGTGGAACAATAAAATATTTTCAAATACAGATATGATCAGAAAATTTATCTAATTACGATTTTTTTTTATAACTGCAACGCATTTCTTTATTTAGGATAGAATCCAATATCGAATACCTAGAAACGTTCGTGCAACACGAAACGTCTCTATAACAGAGTTCAATTTATCCTAATACAAATAACCAAACAAAAATTTAAATAAAAACAAACCTAACAAACCATATACCTATTCTATCCACTAAATACTATCACTATTAACAGAATAATTACACGAAGACTAACATCTACAGGAAACACTAACTAATCTAGAGAAAGCTATCAACAATCCTAGCGCTAAGCCCGACCTTTTCCTACGTCCAATCTCTGTGCCAAATCAAAAAAAAATAACGAAACCCATCAAAGAAACCTTTTACCCATTTGATTCTCGAACATTTTTCATGCAAAGCATGAGACTTGAGAATAAGGTTCCTTTCGGCACTCAGCCCTAACCAAACACATAACTCAAAATCCAATTCTTCTACCTTTAGCTTGGCGGTCAGTCCCTCAAAGAAAATCATTTCCTTTTCTTTCACTAACTCGTTCATCCAATTTCCTACAAAAACAAAAAATTAGTCAAAATCCTCGAGAAAATAGATTAGCCGGAACTTCATGAACACTAAGCATAAGTGGCGAGCACAAGTCTCAGTCTATGCGAGTCATCCCAAAAGAATCGGTTGGTCCAGCGATGTTCACGTCCAGTCAATTTTCCATTTTCCAAAAAAAAAAATCCAATAGACCAGTCTCTCACCTGATTACTGCGGCTTTGGCTGGTCCCGATCTGGATAAATTTGTTGCCGAATGCTGATCCGTCCGCGTGCTAAATTTTTGCTGCGCCGTACGAAAAAAATTTGCGATGAAAATTCCCAAGAAACCACTATAACCAGGCCGTCTGAACTAGACTCCACTATCCAAAAATCCGTTTTCTTTGTATTTTTCCAAGCCTCTGTTATCATCTTCTGACAGACTTTTTATTGGAGCAACACCTCGCCCTACTTGGCTCTTTTTGGGTCACTACCGTAAATGTTGACAGCGAGAAATTTATTTTTGGTCGAAAAAATTTGAAAACTACTAACAAACTTCTGCAAAAACTCCTATCTAAATGTTCGTAAAGGACTGATTGAACAGTTGGTGATGTTGAAATGCGTAAAAAACTAACTTCCTATAAGCACTTTTGAACTTTTCCGCCTTTTTTTTCGTCCTGAAATTTTTGGACTGAATGATAGTTCCTCCCAGGTTCACAATAGATCGGCAAATTGAACTAATTATTGGATCCCGCAATGCCGGGCAAGTGACACTGTACCTGGCATTGCAGAATTCTACCTTAGTCTGCAGGTAGAAGTATTCAATAAACATTCGAAATAACCGATCTGAGTTATTTTATCAATACTATTGGTTAATTAGCCAATTTTAATTGACGCTCTATTTCACAATTATATAATTCCATTTCACGAATTTTAGCTTCACGTTCCCTTAATGCAATTTCTCGTTCTTTTAATGCTAAATCTTTTTCCCAATATTCAAGCTCTTTAAGCCTTAAAGCCAACTCATTCTCTTTATTACGATTATCTTCTTCATAATTATCGTCTTTACAACAATCTTCTTCAACATCGGTTCAATCACAATGGTTTTATTTATTCTTTTTCTTGTTTTGTAAATATATTAAAGAAGTACCCGTGCCAAAAGATTGTAAAATAATTTTGTATAAATCAGTAATACCAATAAAAAAAAAATTTTTTTTAATCAAAATGATGATTAATAAAGAATTGTTATATGAACTAAATTCGAGTTACGAATCACGTGATTCTTATTATTTCACTGTACGACTGGGATGCAAAAATTTCTACAATACAGTATAGCAGTTATTAGGCTTCGCACTGAATTTTTGCATCCAAATCATACAGTACAGTTTATCCATATACCTAAAAAAAAATCTTTAAATTACAATATAACAAAAATTTAAAAAATGAGCCCATCAATTAAATGATCTAATTGCATACTGAAATGAACGTTCGATAACAGTTGTGAATAATCACTGCATAAGGCTGACAATACAACAAACAGAAGAAACCTATTTTGGAAAATATGAAGGTGACGATAATGTCACCGATGGATTCATATACACCAGGGCGTAATTTTAAAAACGGACTTTTACCTTAACGACCTATTATCATACAAGTCAATTCAAAGTATTAAAAACCCTTAACGGAAAATTTCATGCTATGTAAAAAACTTTTCCACCATTGGATGAAAAATATATTATCATTATACAATATAACTGCCATATCATTTGTTCTAAAAGAAAAGAAAATTAAACTTTTTTTTACAAAGACGACAATTTTTTTACGTGTTAATTAATTACTATAAATAAAACGGTTTTTATGAAGATAATAAAATACTGTTTTTTAATCAATAAACTTTTTAACAATTTTTTTTTTTTTAGTTAGACGATATAAAATATAATTTTTAGTTAGAATTTCTGATTTTTGAAATTTAATTTTTTAAAACTAAATTATTTATTTATTTAATATATTCTAATAAACCGTATATAACTAATTTAATTCGTAGTATAAAAAAAAATATAATTAAATTGTATATATTATATTAAATGGTCAATACCGATTTGCCAATTTATTAACTTTCATTTTACTATTATGCATGAAAATGAATTAGTAATAAAAAATTAGGCTAAGACATCATTGTAATTATAATAAATTACTTAAAATTAATAATTCATCTATGGTTTAATGTAACTGAACATTAATATATTTGTATATTAAAGAATCCAGCTATAGTGCTGCGTATTAAGTAAAAAAAAAATTGGGTTTCAACATTATAATTTAAATAACGTGATATCAAGATCAATTTCTTTGGTTACGTATCCTTATATTGAAAACAAAAATTAGATAAAAAAATTTATAATGTTGACTTATATTTATAAACGTATATTTTTTTTGCTTACCTTTATCACGAGGTTGATTAGAGCTCATATTAATATCTAATTCAATTTCTTTTGTAAAGTAATCTACAAATCATATGGATCAATTAAAATTATGAAGAAATATGTCGATTGTTAAAGTGTAATTTTATTTACCACTATTTTCATTTTCAAGAAATTTTCTTCTTTTAATACTTTGTTCTAAATAATTATAAATGTGAATTAAATAATAGAAAGTATAATGAAAAATAATAATTTATTAAATTAATTACCGTACCATTGTCATTACTATCTTCAACTGAATCATCTTCTAACTTTCTTTTATCTTTAAAATAATATTAATAATAAATAAGAATATAAAAAACCATTAAACAAAAACTGAATAATTACCAGTATTTTTTTGATAATAATAAAATGTGTCTAAAATTTGTTTAAAAAAATAAATAATTTTTAAAATTTTTCTTGCAACAAAAATGCGTTGTAATTAATAAATTCGTTACCGATAGATCGACCCCTTGAACTCCTTAAAGACATTGCAGATTGAATCATGCGACTTAAAGGTCTACTCTTATAAATGGCAACTGGATTAGTTAATGTTGCAGGTCCAATATCTGATGATTTAATAATTTTAGTTTGATTTATATTAGTTTCATTATTATGCATTTTATCAATTTTCCAAGATATATCTCTAGCTGTTGGTCTTTTTTCTGGATCAGAATGCCAGCATCCCTTCATCAATTCAATATATCCTTTGGGTGCATTTGTAACAATTGGTGGTCGTAAACCATCACATATTTTGATTATAAGTTCTATATCATGAATTTCATCCCAAAAAGGTCTTCTACCTGTCATATTTTCCCACATAATCATTCCAAAACTATATATATCTGAAGCTTCAGTATATTTTTGTCCTTGAAAAATCTCTGGTGCCATATAAGGAATAATACCATATTTCTCATTATCATTATTTGATTCAGTTGCAGATCTACTTATTCCCAGATCACCTATGTACGCATAATGATATTTGTCAAAAAAGATATTTCCACTATGTAAATCTTTGTGGATAATATTTGCCCGATGTATTTTTTCAAGTCCAGTTAATATAAAAAATAACCCATGCAATTTTGTTTCCCAACTAATATTAAAAAAGTCATTACTTAGATAATGTACCAAATCACCTGAACAATAATATGGCATTATAATCATCATATCTTTAGTAATAGGATCTTGAGTAATTCCAAAATATTCACTAATACCATCAGTCATAAAAAAATTATTTAAAAAAATCTGATAATATGCTTTAAGCTAAATAAAAAAAATATTAATTTTTATCATCAAGTTGAAAATTAGAATATTGCATGGACTATACCTCGTTCAGTTCCTTAGCTAGGGAACAAACTCCAATGTCCAACGTTTTGAACCTGTAACAAAATTAATTTGTGTATTTCTGATAAAGTCATCAATGACTTTTTTCCCACTTAAATTAGGTTTGAACATTTCATAACATAATTGACAAGTTTCATGATTTTCGTCTAGTATAATTTTTCTTTTCTTACATTCTTTACATTTTATCCCTCCTTTACTAAATATAGCAGTTCGTGCTGGCCGACTCAGGGACATATTGTCTGACATCATGAACAATATTAATTGTTCTGTTATTTCAAAATAATTTATTTGTAGCATTCAAGAAAACCTTCCAGTATATATATTTAAAGTAGGGAGTTCAAAATCCTTAAAAAATTATAATAATAGAAGTTCATTATGGAAAGATTTTGAATGAACTCTGAACTAGAATTCCATGAAAGAATAAAAGAATTCTATAGATGCAGTGATCAATTAATTTTAAATTGTCGCGTGATACAGGCTCCTATAATATCGTAACTCCAGTAAAAGTATTTGCTGTTTGTGTAACAACTCTCGTAATAATAATTTTTTTGTCCTTAATAATCCACTTAATCCACTTAAGTTTTTGATATATTCGTGTATTATTTTCTAAAATTGTATCTTGATTAGTTCTGGTTCTGATTGTAGAAACCTTTTTAATATTAAATTCAAAATAATAGTTTAAAAAATCGGTATTAATTATTTTATATGTAAAATTTTTAAAAATTATCATGAGTGTATAAAAGCAGAAATAAACCAAGTTGATAAAGGATTCAAATAATTTAAAATTTAATTATATTTTTCCTAAGCGTAAGTTCTTATAATAAATCTTAGTTAAATAGCGTCCAGAATCTAAAAAGTATAAAATAAATTACATAAAATATCCACATAATATTAATAAACTTTATAATAATGTATTGAAATTTTTCTTCCTTTGCTTGATTTTTTTTTTCCCATTTCTACAACTAAAAATATAAAATTTAACTATTAATAAGTTTATTATAAAAAAACGCCTAATAAAAAAGAATCTAATCAATCTATTTACCGCCACACCAGTGTCAACAATATAGCTTGTTTAGAACGTGATTTTAAGCGGAAAGGTAACCTTTAATGATAATACTTGCGAATATGAAGGATATGATTAATTGATGGATTGGTGGCTTGTTAAAAAATTAATCAAACATCAGTATAGTATAATGATTAATTTTGAAAGAAAAATGATTTCAAATGATTTAATTCAGATAAAACATTAATTTGATCCGATCAATTGATTAATTGAATTCTCAAGTATTTATTAAAAAATGAATTACGGATATTACGCAAGCAATTATAATAAAAGGAAATGTGAAAATTATGTAATTTCCTACTTTCTTATTAGGAAATGCAGGATAGGAGTAGGTCAGAATCTATAATAATATTGTTAATTTTTTGCAATTATACTGTTGAAAAAAACTAATCAAATTAATCAAATTTTATGAAATTTATTTAATTTATACACACCATCAGCTCATCAAATATGGCGAGTAATAGGATCATGTTGATTTTGACGGACTGATATTTTTGTTAATGGCTAAATAATTGATAATTTTCTTTTATTGGCTAAATATCAAATATATTTGCAGTTTAATTATACTTTTTATATACTCTTACTATAATAATAGCATGATCTTGTGTGACTGACGCAATAACTATTATCTACTATGTGTATCATCTACAATTAATGATCTGTTTCAATACCCACCTAACAAATTGTAAATGTAAGATTCTGCGAAATTGGAACTAGGCTTATAGTGCTAGAGCTGGCACTACCGGTCCCTTATAGAAAGAAGTATTATAAGAATAAAATTTCCAATATAATTTTATATAATAATATACGTATTTTTTTAAAAAAAATGTCAAAATGTCGTCATCAGTCCGATTTTTAAATTTTATAAGATTAATATTAAATTAAATAATTGACCACACATATTAAATAATTACTCTATATGTAAATTTACGAAAAGAAGAGATTTGTCTAAGATCAAAAAAGGCTGTTTTTCAGATAATTTTTGAGAAAAATGCAAAATATTGTTTTTTTTAAATTTTCAAAATTTTGTCATGGTTAACATCAAATTAATATTTGAGTTAAAATTTTTGTAATCAGTATTTTTTATCTCTGGCCAAAATTATAAACCGGCATTTCAAACTCTGGCCAAATTGTAATTTTTGGCCGGAATTAAGTGGTGACGATCACCAGTGGTGATCGGTGACGACTTTTTTTTTTGGCAAAAAATTAAATTTTTATATTTTTTATTGAATATTTGATATTTATTAATAAAAAAAGTTTTAATTATAAAATATGTATTAAGAAAAAAAAAGGATCGGCCGGTTAAGGTGTTAAATTTTATTCGGGATAATTTTTTTTATAAATAAAGCGCATTTTTTTATTTTTTTTATTTTTTTTTTTGTTAATAAACGCTCGTTAAATAATTAATTGTATACAACATATAAAATGATACTATACATTCTATAGGCTATACACACTATACACGTAATATACTAACTTTATAGTTTATAAATTGTTAACAACAAAACGTTTAACATAATCTGCTGTAAAAGTTGGAATTGTAGGAAGTTTATCATGATTTCTTAATGAAGGTTCAATAAATGCAGGAAAAACTAATAAATTTATAACTAAGAATAAAATCTATTTTAAAAATCTTTTATCTCTTCTTTTCATAATCAAATATAACTTCCCATAATATGAATATCATACCATGAATCATAAAGAAAAATGATTGTTCACCTGTCCAAATATTAAAATTTGCAATAACAAGATATTCATGTATTAAAGAACTAATAGCAAAAGCACCTAATACTCCCATCATATTTGCAATTTAATTGAAGTTAATAAATTCTTAACAGGTAAAAAACCATATTCCTTAAGAAATTCATTAAGGAATAATTGCCAACGAGTAGACCATAAATCACGAGGACTTGATGCCATCCATGGTTTATCAAATAAAGATTTTGTATTAAATATAAAAGATATCAACCATTCTTTTATAGAAACATACTCTGCAGGGGAGAGAAGACCAAATTGAATTAAAATGGGTTTGTATTTATTTTTTTCTAAAGTGGAATGAAAAATTAAACGAAAGATGATTACAAAAATGAAGACTAAGATATCATAATTTATTGAAAGCCATAAATAAGTAATTGCAAAAAAATGTAACATGTGTAAAATTAAAGGTATTGTAATAGGAGTAATTCCTTTTGTGAAAAATTCTAATAAACGAACATGATAATGATGGCCATTTTGTTGAAATTACGTAAGTAGAAAATGTAAATTCCAACATTAACCGCGATGATGATCATGAGACACTTGAATAATTTTTTGTTAATTTGTGAAGTTGTGGGTGATTTAATAATTAAGGATTTCTCTTTTTCATTTGAATTTTCCGAATTTGGAGGAATTATGTAAGAATCAAAACGCCAATTAAATAATGACCAAAGGAACGATTTAAATTCTTTTTTTGAATTCTTTTGATTTTTATATGATTTTAAGAATAAGAACATTTTTACTCCATAATTAAAAGCAATAGTTACAAGAAAACCGTGAAGTGGAGTTTTATTCTCACGATAAATTATCGGAATTGATACAAATAAAAGGCAAGAGATAATAATATGTAAAACGATTCTTTGTTTGAATTGGTTCAAATGTAAGTGATATGAATAATAACATTGGAGTAAAGAATATTGAAGAATAAACTGAATTGGGTAATTCAGGGGGGAATTTTTGCCATGTTGCTGATGAAGTTGAATTGACAATAAAATTTAATATATGAGCGATCGTTATTGATAATAATATATAAACCAGATTTGATTTTGTGAAAATATTAAATTGAGAAGTTGATGACATTTTGAAAATATAAAGTATAGTCTAATATTATATGACTTAATGAAGTGTTGATAAATAATGCGATATGTGAAATATGCCGATATGGTTTTATTTACGAAAAAATGATAAAAATGTAAAATATTCTATAAAGGTAATGTGTATATTGAGAAATTAAAACTTTTATATGAATCTATTTTTTTAATCGCTTTTTGAAGAAAAAAATTTTGAATTTCATCGTTTATATATACTTATTTTCTCGGAGCTAAAAATTTACTTATGATGGTGCGGCTGAGAAAGCTTAGGTTGATAAAATTGTGCTGTGCAACTTGGCGAAATGGTGTAACTAATCTTAGGAAATTCCCTTTCAACAATTGAATGTAAAAATAGACTTTTAGTACATTATGTTTGACGATCCTTACATTTATTGTAGAATGAAGATACGATTATAATCATACAAATTATTATCCATTATATCTCTATTATGTTCATTCGGTTGTACGATTGTTTCGGTCTTTCGGTTAAATTTTGGAATCTCTTTTATTATATAATTTTTAAATAAGGTATTTTGTATAATGCCCGGGGTATTGTGTAGTGCGGTACGGTAACAATGATTTCTATGATCAACAACTAAATATGATATCAAAACGAAAAAAAAAAA